TAGCGGGTCGTCCGTCTCCTCGTCGTACATCCCCTTCTCATTTTTCTATTACATGTATTGGATATGTCTCGAAAGACGGTCAGTCTGGATTCAAACGGCTAAAATGAGCATATTTCGAAAGATTGCTTGCGCGACAAAACGACGTCGCAAGGTTCGAGATACCCCTGCCTGTGGACCACTCTTTCTCCAAGTAGAGAAATCACAACTGGCATCCTTCGAAAAGATTATCGGAATGCCACGAGAATAACTGGCAAAAAGAATTGTCTCGGAACAGCATAGTGCAGTTCACAAACCATAAGCCTATAAACTCATAATTCATAAATCTAAATTTACACTGCTCCATTGTTACAGAGCCGTCGAATTAAAGTTTTGGAGTTTCCGAGTTACAGAGCCAAATTCACGAGAAAAACATCGTTAAAGTTGCATCCGTCACCCAAAAGGAAAGGCTTACTCTGAAAATCAACCGCTTAGCGAATGTATGAATCAAAGAATGAATGTATGAAGGACTGAACTAATGAATGAACCAACGAGTGAATGGATCAACATTTGAATCAGTTAAATCAATGCATGAATAAAACATAAATAAACAAATGCAGAAGTGAATGAATAAATAAGTAAATTAATGAATGAAACAGTAAACAACTGAATCTGTTCATATTCTTTAAGATATCATGTAAAGAATGACTGCTCTAAGACTAAACCTGAAATATTGTTCTTGATGATCACGAGATTCCACAAGCAGACAAGTGACGCTAGCTGCATCTGGCACTGTATGTGCTGAAATATCATAGACCCGTAGCCTGATTACATAACCCCTTTATGCAACTAGAACCAATTCGACGATGCAATGCATCGTGAAATCTGGTAATGAAGGACTTATTCGTTAATGGGCATATTTAGAATTACCAACATTTCATGATGTTTGAAATATCTTGGAAATTTTCACCGCTGTGGAAATCATACCAACAGAATAAAGCTTTATTCTACATCTAACAGAACGCGCTACACGATGGACCAGGCTTCGACTGGATTTGCGGGCCTGGTTACCTAAAGTGCTCTGATTCGTGAAGTTTGTCTGTGGGATGCTGAGCCATCCGTATGGTAGGTTTGGTTTGTGCTTTGGTTGGTTAGAATTTCAATCAAGCTCGAGAATTTCCTTCATGTGTTGATGGTCATACTGAAAAAATGGCGAAAAACACGGTTTGCTCATAAACAACGCAAAAAATTCTTTAATCAGTCCGTGACTGACCAATACTGACCAATTATAAGGCCAAAACTATCGATTGCTGCGGACGACCAGCCACATTTACGAAACTTTACCATCAACCTACCTTGAAGAAAGGCCGTGAGGCACTGGCTGAAACCTCGGTGTTGGTTCGTCACCGGACTGACCACAGTATGAAAAAACTAATTAACAGATGAATGCATAAATGAGCTAATGACAGATTGAATTGTGTAAGTGAAGAGATGAATGTTAGGATGAATATCTGGCTAAATGAAGGAATAAATCAGTGAGCGAATAATGATTTGAAAAAGAGAATTAATTATTAATGAATAAGCGGATGAATGAGTGAATGAGTAAATTAAATAATGAAAGAATGAGTGAATTAATGAAAGAAAAAAGGCAGAATGAATGAATTACTGTATGACTTAGTGACAGAACGAATGAAGGAATTAATTTGCGAGTGGTTCATTCAAGGAGCGGCTGAACAAATGAATAAATCATAAATGTCACTGTTTTGACTTATCAGCGATTGAGTAACTTAGATGTTCTATTAAGCCGTATGTTTGCAGTTTTTCAGTACAATGACAATGAGGTATAGAAAAGTAAATGACATCATCTATTTTAAACCAAGCAGTGTTTAAGTTTTAAAAGATTCTTAACCTGTTCTCCATATTCTGCCGAATGATAAAACTGAAATCTTTTATAGTTCCATTGCTTGAATAAACCATTGATTGGAAAAACCTTTTCAGTATTTGTCCTTTTATGCTCAGATGTTTCAACCATCGTCAGCACATAAATCGGCAATAAATTTAGGGGAGAAATTCAAACAGTTTTGCGCCTGACTGATTGACGGATTAAATTTTAAATGGGCGTAATCCCCTTCTAGGCCTGTAGAGAACATTATCTAAAAAAGCTCTCTTTGTGAACAATTATACACCCTTGTCATGATTCTTCCATGCCAGCCTGTAAACAGTGGATCTTTACGTTTTAGATAGATTTGTGTCCAGGGCTTGAATGCGATGTGTAAACTTCTGATTACCACTACTTTATTGGGCGAACACTTTTGGATTGATGTGAAACGTTTACCATTAAGATGAAGCCACCGTCTGGAACTCCTTTAAAATATGAGACTCTGCCCTTCGGTCATATTTGAAAGATATGTTGATGATTTTGGATTCATCGAGCACATATTAGCGTTTTCGGAAACGTACCGGTGGTACGGACAAATATCACCGACAGGGAGTAGACGATGATTGTTTGACATCTCTTTTTTATGCCTGATTTTCCTGATTTTGACCTGAGTCGTGAAGCGAAACATTTTTTCTTGCTTTCTGGATATTATTTATGCAACAGTGTCTGCTTCATCACCTCTTGTTGCACAAGGGTCGTTATCCTCTATTCAACGATCAATATTGACTAAAATCTCGATCTCGATCTACTATCAGTGTATGCTTATTTCCTTGACGAAATCTACCATAAAACTTGAATAAATCTGTCATATTCTGAGCATAACTTGTGAATTCATAACCAGCCATTACAGTTTAAGAAAATGCATCATTACTCATCCCATCATCAAGCGATTCTCGACCTTTCTAACATTTGCCAACCGCTTTCTGCGACTTTCAGACGAGCTGCAATACTTGACGATGCAAAATTTTATCCTTCTTTAAGCAGCCTTTGCTACGCTGGATTTCCTAGGCTTTGACCGTTAAGGTAGCGAAACGTGACATTTTCCTTAAGTTCCCTGATACTGCTAATGGAGCACATTCGGCTCCTTTATCCTTCTTGCCCAAGAGAGGACACCGCAGACTAAACGCACATTTGTGAAGTGCTTTTTTTAGGTATCACCAGTGTCTTAGGTATCGTTGGGTAGTTTGTAAGCTCAATTATTTTTTTTCATCGTAAACGTATGACACAACAAAGTCCGTCAATGCTCTCGTGCCAATAAATTTCTGAATGTTTCTGAAATTACTGTCTTAATCAAATTAAAAATAAGAGGACGTTTATGCCTAAATGACCTAATGATAGTTTTATATATTAAAAATATGAAACCATAAATTTCCAGTTTAAAAAATGGACCTACCGTAAAGTTGACTGGATGCCTGGCCAGCGGGTACCAGTTGAGGTCTTCGATGCCAATCACCAGAAAACGTTTGCAAAATTCTTTATTCAAAGAACAGGAATAATAGACGTAACCGTACTTTCCGCCGAAAGACGACGGCAGATGAGCAGGCACCAGGAAGCTAAATTGGATCTGATGGTGTCCGGCGGGCAATGAGTATTCGTACTGCATGAGGTAGACGGTGAACGGGATGTATTCCCGTAAAAGCCACTTACGACTGGTCGCATTTGCTCCCAGCTTAACTTTCGCCTCTCCTGTTACCGAAAGCGTAAGGTCCTTGGCCTCCAGTCTCCATTCCTCCTTTAGGTCAAAGCTAATGCTTCCAATGACCCTAGAGCCAGCGAAAACTGGCTGTCTTTCGTAGCGGATGTCCACGTTCCTTAACTTTCCCATCGGCGAGCGCCGGCACTTTCTGGAATGCCTGCAGCACCGCTGCGTCACTCGTTCAGGTCGTTGCCGTTAGGTCAGGGCAATGGTTCTCGCTACGTGTCGCCACTAACCACTAACATGGTTGTGAGCGTGAAACTCGGTCGCTTTGATGGACACGTGTGACCTGCCGACTCAGAACCACGAGAGTGACTGCCATTCGTTGCCATGCAGTCCTCTGTCAGTTTTCGACAAACCTGCCGGTGACAAACCGGTTCCACCGGCCCCGTTCAGTTCAGTTCGGATCAGCTCATTCATCGCATTCGCCATCGTCTGCCCTCGTGGCAGTCGAGCCGAGGGACTGCGTGACACCCCTTCCTCGTTTTGCGCCCTCAGCGCTGCTAAAGTTCTAGCTCGGTGAAAACGTCAGCGCAATCATCAAAAATTTTATAACTGGCACCTCAACCGGTTTACGAATTCGCTACTCTCTACGGCCGGCTCACGGTACTATCGAATGCCTCTGACCTTGTTCACTTTTACATAGATACCGAACCGCAGTCACAGGAATACCTGCTACATTTTCATTTGGTCTCTTGTGACGAAAAATCTGCAAGATCTGTGTCCAAAGTTCAAAAGCTAAAAATACTTACCTCAATTCAATTTCCATTACCGTTTCTCTTTTCGGGTCGCGGAGGCAGACGCGTCAGGCAAATGCTACCAACTTTCCCGATTCTGCGCCCACTTCTGAGTTTCAGCATAAAACAGCTGAGTCCAGATTAATCCTGGCCGTCCCCTGGGTCTTCTGCCGATCGTTTGTTCCTTCACCTTCCTTTCTGGAAGCATTCGCAACAGGTGCCCAAAATATCGCAGCTGTCATCCCTCAATCTGAAATAGCAGCGGCTGTGCACCAAGGCTCTCGCAGCTTTCTGTAACCCTGACTCTGTCGAGACTCGTGAGGCTAGCGATTCGTCTCAGAAACCCTATTTCAGCCGCTAGTGCGAGGGATCAGATATGTTCAATCATGGTCCACCCGTATAAGCTTGACCGTAGGTAAGCATGAGATGAAGATAGACTTGAACACTGAGAGATTAGCCTTTAGACTAAGCTCTGCCTAAGTCACCGCTGTTCAGTCTAGTTCTTGACTTCCCCCATCTACTGAGGGTCCTTTACCCGGAAGGGAACAAAGATATTCTTTAAAGGCTTCTACCACTTAACTCTCTACATGCTAATACCGCTGTAATGTTGGTGCTCAATCGTCGCATGTGGCCTTTTGTTGAAATAACATTTCCGCGCAAATGCAATAACACTTTTCTCACTGAGTCAAGGAAGAGGCGGATTTTTGTGAAAATGATTACTCATTTTTTAGCCGAACGGCTAAC